GTAGATGATATCAGACACTCTTGGCAAATCACTAAATATACCATTGAGGTTCCTTCTGTATTGAACTGTTATGTAATTGTATCGTCTCCCCTTATATTGTAAAGCGCTGTGCAAACTGTTGGTGCTATATACTGTAAGTCCCATATAATAATAATATCAGTGAGCAGTTGCATCTGTAAAATGATTCGTAATTCTGGTACCCAGGTTGCTTTGACAGACAGCACAAGCAGGTTGATGAACTCACTGTACTGCAGTTTGCTCTTCGACCTGCTTTCGCTTCACTAATTAGACATTAAAGAAATATCCCCACGCTGGTGAGGTCATCATTCTGCTTGTTCTGCACTCTTTTCCTATCAGTTAGTTCAGTATATTCCTAATATACACTTTTCATAGGAAAACCTGGAGTAGGGGTTGCTGTAGCAATAATTAGATGGTTAACTGGTATTTGCACCTAAGAGAACATAACTCACAGCATCCCATAGATCCTTTACATATAGTGCAAATTGTGACGTAACGCGGCGCCCGACCCCTGCCCTTCTCACCAACTCTTGACCAAAGGACCAGCCGATCTTGCACCACGCTGTCACTTGCGTAACAATGCCACTCTCAGCTGCACCGTGCACAAAGATTTTCCAGCTTGCGGGACCACAATCTATGTGCCAACAGCCTGAGAGCGATTGCCACTGGGTTAGGTTAAATATGCAAGAGAAGGAGGAAACTCACAAATCCTAGCAATAACACTATGATATTAGCATAAGTGTCTTCAACACACACTGTCACCACAGACAGGTATATTCAGAGGATTATTAAATACAGTAGCACTCTTCACGAGACAGGGATTCTTTAGTTTGCATTAAAAGCTTTAGAGAATGTTTCAAAACTTTTCAAAATAGGGTTTATTACTAAAAAGGTCAAAATGGTGCAATTAAAATATTTACAAAAAAAGATGTTACAAAGACAAAAAGAGAACAACAATGCAACAGAGAAAAAAAAGAAAGGAGTTAAGAAGGCAGAATACTGACAAAGTCCTGGTTTAGCAGAGTCCAATTGTCCGAATAAATGTTGCCTTGGCTCTCAAAGCCGTTTTTTCTTGGTTGATGTTAAACGAGAGCTCCCTTCGCCAGGCCTGTCAGTCCTTTTCTATGATATTAAAGGGGTGTCACCTGAGAACAACTGACTAATCACCCGGTTTTGGGGATGGGTTCTAGGAGGTCACCAAGTTTAAGTCTCAACTACAATTGCATGCAGTACTAATATTAATAACCTCCAATATGTGCAGGTAGTATTCTAGCAACTAGCAGATTAATATTCAGAATTATATTTCAAACCCAGGGATACCAAACACAGCGTACCTTTGTCACCCAGGAGGGAAGAGACTGCTTTCTTCCCTTTTCTATGTGCTAACATAGTCACGTAGGACCTTGTTTGGCTCGGCATGAAATGATCTATGCAAATATATACCTAATATTAATGTGCCCAGTTCCTGTTGGATGCTATGAACTGTATGTGACATGGTTACATGTGGAATAGACGTTTTATGGCACACTCTGCATTCCTAGGCTCTAATGGCAACACACAGGTCATGTGTGATGGCTGACTGAGTTATTGTTTTATGATAGGGCAGAGAAAAGTGTCTTTTGCAAAATAGACATCCCTCCAAGACTAATTAGTGGTTTACAGCTCTGGAGCTGGCCTCTATTTTTGTTTTATTTAAGATAAGAGGCTCTTTTGAAGTCCGTTACAACTTATAGCTACTAATTACATTTCAAAAGGAGGGAGGAGGGGTGAAAGAGGATTGTTCATGAAAACCAAAATGGCTGAGACCTTAACAAGATGGCGGTCGCGTTGAGCTTCCATGTCTCTATTGCACATGATCGTTACACAAATGTTTATTGAAACAATCGCATCACAGTCAGTATTGGTGCAATATTTCATGGCCACACAGGATCCTTTTGTCAGGTATATGCCTTTTTATATAAGCATGCTCTCACTGTGAGAATGACAGCCCCTGCAGTAGAGCACTGATTATATAAAGACAGACTCAGGTACTTGTGGCAGCTACATTTAAAAATACATGCAATGGGGTTTTAAGCAATATTGAACTGGATTTATATGGTGATCTGTTATAATGCCTGGAGTTCCTTTTTCAATAAGATGGTGCAAAGTACTGTATACTATCATACCTCCCAAGTTGTACTTGTCAAAAAGGGACAGCATGCAAATAGGAGGAATGTAAGTTGCACTGTGGTGAAAATTAGGTGCGGTTAGTGGAAAGAAGATGTGACCATATGGGCGTGGGTTAAAGATACACTGGCAAACACAAAAGCTCTTTAGAGAAAACAATGAAAAACAACATACTGCACACACATTTGGCATACAACATTTCAAAAACATTATTTGACACTGACCTTTCTGCTGAGTAGTATGATACCTACTGAGCCTACTCACTGTATACATAGCGAGCATATGGCACAGTCCTTTTACCCATGACATATACTATAATGACTGTGCCACAAGCAAGAGTCTAATAGACACATACCAATTTCAGCATATGCATGTTTAAAAAATGAACTCTTCAGTTAAATATGCACAGCTTACCTCAAAGAAGATTTTCGGGATCATATAATGTGCTTAGAGCGCAATAGTATATCATATATAGCCAGGCATTCAGATTGTAGTGGTCAGGAGTATGAAATGTACAGTGCAGTGTCTATCGTGCAGGGCTCAAGAGAGTGTAACTGTCAGGAATGGGCTCACCTGCCGTGTGGGCTGCAGTACCGGTGCTTGCCAGCGGGTGTGTCAGGAATGGGCTCACCTGCCGTGTGGTCTGCAGTACTGGTGCTTGCCAGCGGGTGCTTTCAGCAGCCAGGATCTCACTCCTGCAATCAAGCCATCACCTAAGGCTGATTGCAGGAGGTATATTTAAGCAGCACCAGGCCTGAAATCAGTGCCTTGGTGTTTTCCCATGTGCTCTGTTGTCTGGATCCTATTTCCTGTATCCTGTCTTCTGCCTGCTTGACCCTCATGCTTGACTCTGACTCTGCTAGAACTCCGCCTGCACCGACCCCGGCTATTCTTGACTATTCTCCTGCCTGCCTGCTCCTGTTGTACCTTATCTGCCCGATTGTTCCTGACCCGGCCTGCCTGACCACTCCACCTCTCCAGCCCTGACAACACTTATACATAGTAATATTAGTTTAAGGTTTGGTTTGTTTGCACTGCGTTTGTTTAGTTTTTGCAGCTTTTAATACATTTTATTATTAATTCATCATTTCTGAAGCCTGCTATTTCCCTGTGTCAGTCCACATATCTCTGGTCATACCTGGATCCCTGACATAACACCAAGCCCAGTCCTGACCAGAAGTGGCTGCACAGGGAAGCCATCTTGGCTGTTATTTGTGAAGGATGCATCCTAAGGAGGATGAGTACTTGTCTCTGCTAGTGTCAGAGCCTGGGATAGAACCTGGTCCTTCTGCAGCGGGAGGCAATGTCTCCTCTCACTGAGCTATCTGGAATGCTGGACAGCTCCCTTGACAATTCTTGGATAATCCTGCCTTGTGCCTTGATTTCTCTTGAACCTTGAACTCCTTGCTCCTCCCATGAACTTCCTTATAAAAGCCATGTCCATGCACTTCCTCCTTGCCAGATTATTGTGCCTTACCAGCCAATATCCCGCTTACTGTTCCTGCTGCTGTCTTCATCTACGTTACCGACCTTTGGCTTGCTACTGACTACGATTCAGCCTCATCCTATCTACTACCATTGGTGATCGACCCTTGGCTTGTGACTGACTCCGCTTCTGTTTGATCCCTACACTGTTTGATCCGCTATTGGCTTCCAGCTTGCTCATTCCCTGGTGGGGTGATCCTGAGATCTGCGACCTGCTATTAACACGCAGCCCAATCCATCTCCACCATTAGGAGCTCTGGTGAAAACCGTTTAATACTTAGACCCCGCACCTCAGGTGAGCCTGCGTCATTCCCAGGGGGACCTGCTGGTGTACCTATCCTGCTGGTTTCAGGTAAGCCTTACAACTGCTGTAGCAACTGGTCTCTGAACCTGACCGCATATCGTGACAGCTAGTCTTAGAAGACAGAGAATACGGCTATTAGATTCTGAAGAAGTATGCCAGGGATCAGCTACTAGAGTGTATGCGGGTTGCTTATTCCCTAGTAGATCAGGGCAGGTTGTTTTCTGAGGTGTAGCCATTGAATCCAGGCTTGTGCTGAATTGGCTTTGTCCAGTACCCCTGAAAGCAAGGATGACTTTTTGCCGCCATTTAGTATGGATCAAGTAGAGTTACTGGTATGGTTGTTGGAGGGTGATCCGGATTGTTTCTTGGAGCATTATTCAGCATGTTCACAACATATGCTAGTGGATTGTATAAATGCAGTGCAGTCTTTGGTCAGACAGGCTATGTTTAATCTGAGCTTTGTTCAACCAGTACTACAGACATGGTCAGATTTGTTACACCCAGCCTCAGTCAGCTTGCAAAAACAGTCCTGCTTCTAATCATTCCTCTGCTCAAAGCTCTCTTCCTCCATTTCCCACAGCACCCCCAGTTACAGCTCAGTATACCCTGCTATCAACCACATGTCAGTACCCTGTTCCCACTCGCTGCACCTACCCTGCCTTTAACTCTGTAAAGAAGTAGAAACTGCTCCCTTCTCTGTTCCATCCTCCAGCTCTTCTCTGTCTTTAGCTGCTCCCTCAGTTTACAGCCCTGCATTTACTTGCAGTGCTTCAGTAACTAAACCCAAGAAGAAACGAAAATTCTTTCCAACCAGTACCATCCTGCCAGTATCCAAACCAGTCAGCCTGCTGTCTGAGAACCCGCCTTCTGTTATCCCGCCTGATGACCTGACGCCTGCTCTCCAGCCTGATGCCTTGACGCCCGCTCTCCAGCCTGATGCCTTGATGCCCACTCTCCAGCCTGATGCCTTGACGCCCGCTGTCCTGCCTGATGCCTTGATGCCCGCTGTCCTGCCTGATGCCTTGACGCCCGCTGTCCTGCCTGATGCCTTGACGCCCGCTGTCCTGCCTGATGCCTTGACACCCCGCTGTCCTGCCTGATGCCTTGACGCCCGCTGTCCTGCCTGATGCCTTGACGCCCGCTGTCGAGCCCGATGCCTCGGTGCCTGATGACCCAGTGTCCGCTACCCAGCCTGATGATCCTATCCGGTCTCATGATCCTATCCAGCCTGATGATCTGGTGCCCGCTACCCAGCCTAATGATGCTATCCAGCCTGATGCTCCGGTGTCTGTTATCCAGCTTGATGCCCCGGTGTCCGTTATCCAGCCCGATGACCCGGTGCCTGCTGTCCAGCCCCGATGACCCGGTGCCTGCCACCCAGCCCGATGTGCCTGCTGCCCAGCCTGATGTGCCTCTGCTCGCTGCCCAACCTGATGTGCCTCTGCTTGCTGCCCAGCCTGATGTGCCAGCCCCTGATTCCCAGCCTGCTTCTGGAAATCCTGTGTCCAGCAACCTGCCTTCCTGCGGTCTCCTACAAAAAGATAGGTCTACCAGCAGAAAACCCAACCAGTCGCTTGACTCCGGCAGTGGGATATCCAGCCATTTACCTGACCTGGGCGGTGGAACATTTTTGCCATTAAGGACTGTTTGGAGCGTCCTGAGGCCGCTCCTTGAGGGGGGGGGTACTGTCAGGAATGGGCTCACCTGCTGTGTGGGCTGCAGTACCGGTGCTTGCCAGCGGGTGTGTCAGGAATGGGCTCACCTGCCGTGTGGTCTGCAGTACCAGTGCTTGCCAGCGGGTGCTTTCAGCAGCCAGGATCTCACTCCTGCAATCAAGCCATCACCTGAGGCTGATTGCAGGAGGTATATTTAAGCAGCACCAGGCCTGCAATCAGTGCCTTGGTGTTTTCCCATGTGCCCTGTTGTCTGGATCCTGTTTCCTGTATCCTGTCTTCTGCCTGCTTGACCCTCCTGCTTGACTCTGACTCTGCTAGAACTCCGCCTGCACCGACCCTGGCTATTCCTGACCATTTTCCTGCCTGCTCCTGTTGTACCTTATCTGCCCGATTGTTCCTGACCCAGCCTGCCTGACCACTCCACCTCTCCAGCCCTGACTACACTTATACATAGTAATATTAGTTTAAGGTTTGGTTTGTTTGCACTGCGTTTGTTTATTTTGTGCAGCTCTTAATACATTTTATTATTAATTCATCATTTCTGAAGCCTGCTATTTCCCTGTGTCAGTCCCCACATCTCTGGTCATACCTGGATCCCTGACAGTAACACAGAGTGTAGTGTCAGAAGTGCATAATACAGAGTTCAGGAATCTATAGTACATAAAGCATAGACTGTAGGGTTCAGGAGTGTGTAATACAGAGTGCAGGGTTCAGGATTTAGTGATGAAGAGAGTTCAGGGGCCAGCAGTGCACAACAGAGTGCAGGGGTCAGAAGTACATAACACACAAACTAATGTAAGGAGTACAACAAAAAACTACCCCCTCTGACCAGTACAACCCCCCCAGCCCATATCCCCTACAGTACATATCTCCCCCAACAGCCCAAATTCCTCACCCGGTAGAGATTTCCCTCCACAGTCCTAAACCCCCTCAGCAGAGACCCCCTTCCCAGCCAACCCTCTCAGTACAAACCCCTCCAGTACAGAACCACCATCTTAGTACAGACTTCTCCAGTATGTACCTTCTTCCCAGCCAATCCCTTCAGTACAAACCCCCCTCCCACGCAGACCCCTCATCCCAGCCCACTAACTCAGTACAGAGCCCTCCAGTACAGACCCCCACCAAGCCTTCTCAGTACAGATGTCCAGTTCAGATCAACCCCTTAGTACAGTCCACAGCCCAGTCCAATCCCCAGTACAGGTCTTTTCCACTTTATGTTTTTAGCATTTGTGTAAGCTCTAACTGAAAAATTGTTTAGAGCTTACTCAGGGCTGTCCTTTTCTTTTTCCTGACTACTGAATGAAGTGGTGAGGGAACAAAGGACAGAAGAGTATGTTCTGCAGAGAGCTGGGCCTGTTGCTTTGACTACATGCATACATTTCATTATGTCACCAAATGTTTTTTTGTACTAATCAATATTTTAAGTGAATTTTTTTCCTTTAATTTTCTAGTACATTAGAAAATACAAACAGTGTTGTGAATACTTTCATTGAATATCTCCTATTCAGATTGAATTCATCAGCCACAGTGCTTTCAAGAGTATGTACGAGTGCGTTTACCAGTACTGGCGTATTCATGCACTGATGCTGCTAGATAGTTGTAAATAAACCTAAGCAACTTGGCCAAAGCCATTATTGTAATGCATTTCAAGGTAAGGTAATAAAGAAGTGAAGGTAGCCTCAGATGACTTCCAGCTATTGCTTTTAATAGGAGTGTATGTATTGTGCAAGCAAAGTTTTCTGGAGGCGAGCAACCTCTATGAAGCTGCTTTGTAACCGTGACTTCTTGATTTATTATCAAAATGGAAATGTGCCCATGACAAAGGCATTTCTCCTGTTTTCTTCATTCTTCATTTGACTTTATTGCCATTCTAGCTTTTAAATAGAGCACCACAGGATTTCCTTTCCATATACTGAACAAGTTAAAATCAAGTTGAAATTCGGTGAACATTGCAAGTGTTCAGCTTTGTTTTTATTTTGATATTTTTGGTGTGCTTGCCAAGACATTTGTTCTTTTTGAGATAATTTTAACAGGGAAATTCTCTTCTCGCATAGAGAAAAGTGCAAGAGTACATGTCGGTATGTTCTTCCTACAGTTTGTGGCTAAACTGCAGGAAACTGATGCAGAGAAAGAGAAGTTCAATACAGACAGTTACCTAGCAAGTAACCGGTGCTCGGTGTTAACCCTTAGCTGACATTCCATTCTGCATCCTTGATCTGCAAAGCACTAATGGTTGTTTAATTATGATGCTTATTATGCTGAAGCTTGGATAATCACATTATATCCTCTAAAATGTAGTTTTTTTTTTTTTTTTCCAAGTGCTACAACACCTATGTAACTTACACATTTGGAGAATCTTTTCTGAAGACATACACTTACTGGCCACTTTATTAGGTACACCTTGCTAGTGCCAAGAAAACATCCCCACACCAATACACCACCACCAACAGCCTGAACCGTTGATACAAGGCAGGATGGATCCATGCTTTCATGTTGTTTATGCCAAATTCTAACCCTAACATCTGAATGTCGCAGCAATCAAGTCTGCCCATTCTCCTCTGATCTCTGACATTAAAAGGCATTTTCACCCACGCAACTGCCACTCACAGGTTATTTTCTATTTTTCGGACTATTCCCTGTAAACCCTAGAGATGGTTGTGCGTGAAAATCCCAGTATATCAGCAGTTTTCAAAATACTTAGACCAGCCCATCTGGAACCAACAACCATGCCACATTCAAAGTCACTTAAATCCCCTTTCTTTCCCATTCTGATGCTCGGTTTGAAGTTCAGAAAGTTGGCTTCACCACATCTACATACCTAAATGCATTGAGTTGCTACCATGTAATTGGCTGATTAGCAATTTGTGTCACCAAGCAATTGAACAGGTGTACCTAGTAAAGTGGCCGGTGAGTGTACATAAAAATGGTAAATAGCCACCATGTCTTTGCTGTGGAATACAGATAGTATACAATTGAAACATAGTCTAAAATAGTATACTAGTGCTCAATGACCTAGTAGGGAATAGGGCTTTTTTAGCCAAGAACAGCTTCAGCATTCATACAAGTCCTAGGTTTTGAGTAGTCAGATTTTGTATTATTCATAAGAAAGGGTGTAAAGCCGGTGAAATCTACTTTCCTCTGGAAACTTTAAAAAGATTTAGCAATGTTTATGGTAATTGGACAAGCCATAGAATGCAGTTAATTTACATTCATCGTTGACTAAATCAATTCTGAAACTGAGTTTGTTTAGCAGTGCTTATGGGCAGCAATATTATCCTGGTACATGAAAGCATCATGAGGGAGCAGCCTTTAACTCTAGGGTGCATCTGATCCATTGAAATAGCTTTAGATTCCTTGACCATTGTTTGACCATGCAGGGCAGTGAACAGACCCATGTGAAGGTCATCAGGGAGGAGAGGTTAAATACATCAGCCTACTCTATCTCCTTCCTGTAACAGAGCACTCCTATAACTGACCTTATGCCCAGTGGGGCCTCTGGCATATATGACACCCAAGGTGGATTATTCTTTAACACCCCTTTCCCCTCTATTAAACAAAACTATTTTTGGTAATAGCAACCATAAAGAAGTGTAAACCATGAAAATTGTAGTGCCCCTTTACATTGGTACTCCATTTAAATGCCCCCTTATAATGGTAGTCAGTGGATATGTACCACCTAACATTGGTGGTCAGTGTAAATGCTCCCCTAACATTGAGTGTAAATGCCCCCCTAACATTATTGGATTAGTGGAGACTTGCCCGCTTCTATTGGTGGTCAGTTGAAGCATGTCCCCTTACACTGGAAGACAGTGGACAAGGACATGTCTCCTTACATTGGTGGTGGGTGTAAATGCCCCCTAGCATTGGTGGTCAGTGGAGATAAGTTGCTCATAGGATGAAGAAACCCTTTTATTTATAGTTAGTACAGACATGCCTTGCTAGCAATGATGGATAGTGGAAATACATCCCCAAACAATGGTTGTTAGTGAGGACATACCCCCTTAAATTTGATCAGTGGAGGAGCATACACTTTCATTTGCTAAACAGTGAAGAAGTTCCTCCTTGAATTTCTGACCAGTGGAAAAATGCCCGCTTACATTGGTGTAGTGCAGTACTCCCTTACCTAGATGATCAGTGTAGACATGCCCCCTTACATTAGTTGTCAGTGTAGTGCTCCCTTACATAGATGATCAATGTAGATATGCGCTTACATTAGTGGTCAGTATAATGCTCCCTTACTTAGATGATCAGTGTAGGCGTGCCCTTACATAAGTGGTCAGTTTAATGCTCCCTTACATTAGTAGTCGGTATAATGCTCCCTTACTTAAATGATCAGTGTAGGCGTGCCCCCTTACATTAGTGGTTAGTGTAGTGCTCCCTTAAATAGATGATCAGTGTAGACGTGCCCCTTACATTAGTGGTCAGTGTGGTGCTCCCTTACTTAGATGATCAGTGTAGATGTGTGCCCCCTTACATTAGTGGTCAGTGTAGTGCTACCTTAAATAGATGATCAGTGTAGACGTGCTCCTTACATTAGTGGTCAGTGTAATGCTCCCTTACTTAGAAGATCAGTGTAGACGTGCTCCTTACATTAGTGGTCAGTGTGGTGCTCCCTTACTTAGATGATCAGTGTAGACGTGCCCCTTACATTAGTGGTCATTAAGTGGTCAGTGTAATGCTCCCTTACTTAGATGATACAGATGTAGTGGCATGCCCTTACATAAGTGGTCAGTGTAATGCTCCCTTACTTAGATGATCAGTGTAGGCGTGCCCCCTTACGTTAGTAGTCAGTGTAATGCTCCCTTACTTAAATGATCAGTGTAGGTGTGCCCCCTTACGTTAGTGGTCAGTGTAATGCTCCTTTACTTAGATGATCAGTGTAGACCAGGGGCGGACTGACCATTTGGAAACTCGGGCACTGCCCGAGGGCCCGGGGTCAGTAGGGGGCCCCATGAGATGCCCCTGGTACCTTTTTCAGGCTTTTTTGAGTTTGGGCAAGGAAACA